TTAGTGTATTTTGATATTTGCTTTGTCTATATTTTCTTTTTTTTTTTTTTTTTAAGAGACAGTCTCATTTTGTTGCCCTTGGTAGAGCGCTGTGGCGTCACAGCTCACAGCAACCTCCAGCTCTTCGGCTTAGGCAATTCTCTTGCCTCAGCCTCCTGAATAGCTGGGACTACAGGCACCCCATCACAAAGCCCAGCTATTTTCTGTTGCAGTTTGGCTGGGGCCAGGTTTGAACCTGCCACCCTCGGTATATGGGGCTGGTGCCCTACTCACTGAGCAACAGGCGCCACCCACGTCTATATTTTCTAATGTTCTTAGTTGGCCATTTTTACCTTTCAAGCATTTGAGGACATCTGAGAACTATAACTTGTGTTTTAAATTTATCAGGGGAACTCAATGTTCTGAAAGCATCATGCTGGCAGTGGTCTGATATTAATCAGGGTGCTCAGTTTTTCCCACTGAATTGGTTGAGAGAGAACTCTGTGCTTTTACTCTGGGGGTATGCAAAGACCATGCCATGTGTATGCATGTTATCAGATTCTAAACTCGTTCATTGTCTTTGAGATACCCATTTTGACAAATGCTCAATGCTGCATATCTACCATTATAGTATTATACATTATGTTTCACTGCCCTAAAAATTGCCCTATTCTCCACATATTCATCCCCCCCCCTTTGCCTTTCGTCCCCCAAACTCTGGTAACCACTGATCCTTTTACTGTCTCTATAGCTTTGCCGACTATTGTTTTTTTTTTTTTTCCTCATGCTTTAGGTAAGTGCTATGCACACAAAGCTTCAAGACAAGTTTCTTATCTCTGCCATCCAATCACACTACCTTCTCTAACTCTTTTATATCATCTATCTTTTCCTGGGGACCTCCTGGAGGGTGGTGGAAGAGATCTGACTATCACAAGCTGCAGCAGAGGTAGCTTTTGTTCCATTTGTTCTCTTCTTCTCTTCTTCCTTTTAATAATAAAACAATCCCAACTGGTCGAGGTTTGACTGATCCCATACCTAAAAACTACATTTCCTACTTTCCTTGTATCAAGGTGTGACCTATGGGATATGAATAGAAAGGATATGTGTAAGTAATAAAAACTGACAAGATTGAGAAAATAAGACACTTACCATGTAATTTTAAACTTGCGTCCCATTATAGGACCACATTATCTAAAGGATATTTTGAATAATTTAAAAATATATCCTGTAATTATCTCATAAAAGACACAATTTACTACATTGTAATTTTTGGTAGTTAAAGTATTCATTGGTTAAAGCAAAATGACATTGAATGTAATACAGTTTGGATAACCCTATTTTGAATATTTTTCATTTTATATGAATCTCAAAAAGCCAAAACAACACAAAAAAGCAGAAAGTTCAACTTCTAGGAGGCCATGTGTGAAACACGGACATTTAAACTGTGATGAAGCCTATGAAAGTAAGAAAAAGAAATGGCCAGAGAGTTGGAAGGGGAATCAGGGAACTGTGGTTTTATGCAAATTGATGGAAGCAAGACCTTTTAGAAGTAAGCAACATTTACAAATGAAAAAGAGAGGTCTAATAAAGTAAGTACTAAAAGGTATTTAATAATTAGGATATCATTACCCTTGTCTTGGTTTTCACATCTATAAAATGAGGTCACCATGGTTCAATTATGTGCTATAATACTTCTGGACTATAGTAGGTATTCAATAAATGTTAGCTTCCTTCCTCTTTTTGTCATCAATTCATTGTTCCATTCAACAGATACTCATTATTAGTGAGTAATCTTGCTTGAGGTTAAGGATGCTATAATTATAGATGCTTCCCTAAAGTACGTTATAGTGTTGTAGGGTAAATACATCAACAGGTCAGTACCATTCTTTGCCATGAGTGATATGAAGGGAGGAAGTACATGGAAGTTATTTATTTCTTTTAGTTTCTTTGTTTTTGGCAGATGAATTATGAAACTTTAGAACATTTCTAGTGCAAAAAATATGTACACATTTTTAGAGACAGGGTCTTCTTCTGTTGCCCAGGCTGGAATACAATGGTGCTATCATAGCTTATTATAACCCTGAAGTCTTGGACTCAAGGGATTCTCCCAAGTAGCTAGGCCTATAGGCACATGATACCACATCTGGCTAATTAAAAAAATTTTTTTGATGGCCAGGCATGGTGGCTCATGCCTATAATCCTAGTACTCTGGGAGGCCCAGAAGAGTGGATTGCCTGAGCTCACAGGTTTCAGACCAGCCTGAGCAAGAGAGAGAACCCAACTTAAAAAGTAGCTGGGCATTGTGGTGGGCACCTATAGTCCTAGCTACTCTAGAGAGTGAGCCAAAAGAATCGGTTGAGTCTAAGAGTTTGAGGTTGCTGTGAGCTATGATGTCACAGCACTCTACCAGGGGCGACAAAGTGAGACTCTGTTTAAAAAAAAAATTTTTTTTTAGGTGCTGGTCTCAAACTCCTGGCCTCAAGTGATCCTCCTACCTAGTTCTTCCAAACTGCAGGGATTACAGGTATAACCCACACTTGACCAAAAATAATTTTTTTAAGTTATTTTAATATTGCAGATTTGGTGCATGAAATGTTTTTAAAATTTTAAATACAATGTAAGCAACACATTCTTATTTTTGCCTGTGAAAGCTTTTGTTTTTATGGTAAATACTTAAAGTTGAAGGAGACATCCAACCACTAATGCTCTCATTCAGAACTCACTGCCCTTCAAATTGATGAAAGGGGGTAAAGCAAGAGCTGGAGTAAGGGCCCCAAAACTCTGAAGGCACAGGCCTAGCTAACATAATAATATTCAGCCCTTTCCTTGTTTGCTTGATAAGTTTGTCACTGTCCCCTTGTTTGCTTCTCTGTAATTGCTGCTCTAGAGGGCACATCTGGTAGTTGTAAAGATTCTTAACTCTCCTGTGTAGATGTTTTCTAGAAAACATCTGTTCAGAACCTAGGGGTAGTCATTGAGATATCTTCTGCGTCCTGCATTCCAGTGGACTGACGGACCAATGCAAGCCAAGAACAGACTCAACCAGATCCCCTCCCCAAAGGAACTGCATTCCAGTGTATTGGCTAACCCACTCAGACCTTGGCCAAGAGCACCAGCAAGATTCCTGTCTTAAAAAATAGGCAAAAAACCAGTGATTCCACCAGAAGCCAGCCAGTTATCTGACCCTGATTGGCTAACCATTTGTCCACCAAACTGTCTTAAAAAACCCTGTCTTCTCAACATTGGAGGAGTAGAGTTGAGAAATTCCTCCCTTCACTCCTTCTCTGCTTTAAACCCTGCTGTCTCTGAACATTGGCTTTCTCCTACGTATCAGGCAGATAGATGAACCTGGCTGGGCGGCAACAACTGCTTTGTACTTAAAAAAAAAAAAAAAAATTATATCCATAGTTGCTCAAAAACGTTAGTGGAAGTTCACTTTCATTAGTAGTACATATATATATATATTTTCTAGTCAAGTGTAAAATTTTTAAAAACTGAATTTTAAGTTAACTTTACATGCAGTAAAGTTTATCCCTTTTTTGAATTTTGACAAACAAAACTGGTTTGATCACCAACACAATGAGATATGTAATAGTTTCATTCCCCCTATATAGGGACTCAAGGAAATGGGAGGTGGAATCAAACTACTGCATATATATATAAAATTAATTAATTTAGACAACATCTCACTTCGTTGCCCTCAGTAGAGTGCTGTGTTGTCACGGCTCACAGCAACCTCAAACTCTTGGACTCAATATATTCCCTTGCCTCAGCCTCCCTAGTAGCTGGGACTACAGGTGCCCACCACAACTCCTGGCTATTGAGTTCCCTCAGCCCTTGCCCTCATCACCCTGATCAGTAGCCTGTCCTTCAGGAAAAAAAAAGAAAAGAAACACCTTTCATTTTTAAGTTTATAGAGTCACAGGAAATTGCAAAGATAGTATAGTACCTAGTCCCTATAGGACCTATAGTCCCCTGCACCTATCACTTAGTTTTCTCCAGTGGTGATTATTTTATACAACTCTCTTGCAAGATCAAAACCGTGCCCTGTAATTTGAAGGCAGGTTTTCCTTTCACTTTGCCTGCAATTACTCTTTGCATTTCCAACAAATTTAATTTTGCTGTTTAAAGGAGCAGATGCTAGTTTTCCTTCAGATGTCTGCTATTTCAGTACCATCACCCCTGTTACTCCTACATTTTTCTTTAGTCTTTATTCCCATCATTTCCCCCGTTTAATTTTGCGGCTACATTTTTTTCCCCTGAGACACGGGCCGCAGATGGTACTATTCTCAGTATTCGGATTCCTAACTTCCCCCTCCATACTTAAGTTTTAAAGGAGTAGCCGTGCTTGTGCTGAATCGTGGTGCGGTACCGTACTTTCGCAGTGTGTGTGCACTGCCATGGCGCGCCCACCTCTCAGGACGATGCCAGTGGCACCAGGTCGTTCGTTCTTGTTCTAGATCTACTCTTTCTTCATCGATCACGATTTTATTTTTCAGATTTCTGGCGATTTGTATTAGTGTATAGGGTACCCTGGCACCCCCTCCCCCAGGCTGCGGCCTGGCCTCTACTCCCCAGTTAAGGGGCGGCCTTTGTGCTCCGCGGAGGGCACCGCCCGCGTGTGGCTGGGGGAAGGGCCGCCCATGAAGTGAGAGGCGGGGCCTTGGTGGCCGGAGGTGTCGCCTCCCTCCCCTCCAAGCTCCTGCAGTCCCAGCCCAAGTCCCAGCCTGGTCCCCTGTCGACCCCGCGCCAGAGCGCGCCGCGGAAGACGTCACCTGCCTGCGCTAGGCGGCTCCACGGTGCGCGGGAAAGCGCAGTGCGCATGCTCGCAGGCGGCGGCGGCGGCGGAAGGAGGGGCGGTCGCTCGTGGTGGGCCTCGGAGCGCCCCGGCTCCGCTCCTCTGCCGCCGTCGCTGCCCTAGTGGCCCCAGTCGCTGTCCCCTCAGGGCGCTGGCGCGGCGCTAGCCTCGCGGTGCCCGGGCGCCTCTCCCCGCTCCCCTCCCCGGCCCCGGGTCCCGTCGCCCCGCCCCCGCCGGGCCGGGCTGCGGGGTCAGGGGCCAAGCGGAGCGGGGTGAGTATTCCCACAGCGCGGGCCGGTCGTCGCCTGCCGGGCCTGCTTCCCGCACCGGCCTCACCCCTCTTCTCGGACAGGGAGGAAGCGCGGGCGCGGGTGGCCGGGAAATAGCCCACGTCCAAACAAAAGGCCGAGAAGCGGGGCTCCCGCCTGGGAGCTGCAAGCCCTGTGCTGGCAGCTGCGCCGGGAAGGGCGAGGGCGCGGCGTCTCTCTGCCCCGGGGCTCGGGCTCATGTAGCGCGCACCCGCTGGTGTCCTCAGAGCTCTTGGGACACAACCCAAAGGCCTCGCCCTCGACGTGGGTAGTCACTCCCTCGTGTTTAAACTCTGCAAATGGATAGCAAGTCTTTTGTCCGTATAACGTTAAAACAAAGGATATTACTGGCGATTCCAGTGACCGATTTCCAAGTAACTTGAAGGGGCTTCAGATTCATGAAGTAGGAGGAAAAACTTGCTATTTATAGCCTGCAGTTTTTTTTTTTTAAACCTTCCAAATAACCTATAAGGTCATGAATAGGCAGCACAGAGGCAGGAGGGTGATAAAGGAATAGTTAACTGATTTATAGAAACACTTTCATTGGTGGTAGAAACTACAAAAATCTTGGAAAGAAGACAAAAGGATGGCTACGTGTCCTTTCAAAGTCAAAATGGAGCCTTACCTAACAGGCCCACATGAGGATGTTTTGATTAACTAGGGGACTATATTTTGTTGGATGTAATATTGATTAGAACAATATTTCTAATCAATATTTGTATTTACATCTTTTTGACAGATCAGCACGGAAATGATTTCTGATTGGGAGAAAAAAAATAAGAGTACTCCTAAAGGTTGTGGAATTTTTTTCTTTTGCCTGATACAATTTTAACTGCAATTTACAAGACTTTAATTTTAATTTCTCAATACTTAATGTTTATTTTGAATTTTTATCTTTTTTCCTATCTTTATATCATTTTTTTCTTAAGTGTTTATGCTCAGTTTCCTAAAGGCTTTTGAACATTTACCGTGTAGCTTGCTCCCTTATTGTGAGTTCAATAAATCTTTGCCATAGGCTCTCTTTGTTTGAATCAGATTTGTAACTTTTATAATTGGATAATGATTTCCACTCTTTATTGGGAAAAGCTTAATTTTATGCTTTTTAGGATGGAAAAAGATAGGCCTGTGTAGTAAGTACTCAAATACATCAGAGGACCTCAAGTACAATTCTTTCTCATTGCTTCTGAAGGGTCTGTGACCAAACAGAGGGAACTTTAGAAAATGAAAACCTTGGCCAGAAAATAAATATTGAGTATCAAGAAATTAACATCAAAGTCTTGTAAATTACGGAATTAACATTGTTACTGATATTGTACATTGAAGAAACTAGGGGAAATAGTGATTCTAAACTAGATACAGTTGGAGGTGGAAGTTACAAGATTGCTTCCCCTGTCCCTTATTTAATATGGTTAATAAAGATTTTGTTATGTCATGGATCCATCATGTTAGGTAGAATGTAGTGGGACAAACCCTACCTTGACAGTAAATTTATGAGAAAGGTGAGCAACCCCTTAGAAAAAAGAAGAGGGTAAAGCTTGAGTAAGAAGATCGCCCAGGACTTCAGATTAGATCGTTATATTTGCAGCTTGAAGATGTGTTTGGGACCCAGGAGGTTGTGTTTGAATCATAAATACAGTCAGGGAACCATAAAAAAAAGAAAAGAAAAAGTAGAAATTATTTGGTGATGATCCATGGCAAAAAAAAATGTTTGCAAGGGTGCCTCTGGCACTTCCCTCCCCCAAGGCTCTATCCCTGCTGGGTTTAAAACATTTGGAATGCCGGGTAATGGAGAACACGCCCTCCCAAAGGCATCTCCATTAGGAAAAAATTGCTGAAAACCGTGCAGAATCAGAGGCTTCTCCAAATGTTCAGTGTGGCACCCCAAACCTTGAAGCGCTTGATGGGATATAGGATCCAAGAACAGTACTTACTAATAGGAGTTTAGCTTTGGAGTCAGAGTTATCTCATACCACTGCCATCTAATATTGTGCTGAGGATAGCTTTTTGTTGTCTCTTAGGAGCTCAAACCCTACAGTGGTTTCCTTTTGCCCACTGATGTAAGTGGAATATCCTTTAATGTTTAATATTTATATTATTTTTAAGAGAGAGTCTCACTATGTTGCCCAGGCTGGAGTGCTGTGGCTATTCACGAGCCTGTGTTTAGCACAATGAAGTCTCAAACTCCTGGCCCTAAGCTGTCTTCCTGCCTCAGCTTTCCAAGTAGCTCTGGGACTAATGGCTCCTGACCCCATGTCCAGATTTCTTGGAATTTGAAGCCTTGTTCTCGGCCACCAGCTTTTCCTGTATTTTTCAATCTATACTTCCTAATCAAGTTTTTTACCCACCTGCTATGCCTCATTTCAACTTGGTGCTAGGTTCACTCCCATCCTCTGTCCCCTTTCCTGTTCTATCTCTTCCTTTCTATATCCTCTTACAATTCAAGGATTAGCTGAATTAGCTCCTGTAGGGAACAGACTGTGGATTCCACACTGTCTTAGGTAAAATTGCCACACTTAGCAGCTGTGTTACCTTGGATGAGTTACTTGTCTCTCTGTCCCAATTTCCTCGTCTATAAAGTAGAGAAAATCATTGTAATTATACCTCATAGTATTATCATGAGGATTTAAGTTACACAATTCTATATAAAAAGGACTCAATACTGCTATTTTAATTATTATTTTGATCCATACTAATTCTTAAAACAGTGGTCATTCTCAAAACATTGAGTTTTTTACTATCTTTATTCTCTAATTTCTTTTCACTTTGAGTCTTAAAGATTTGATTACTTTGAGGAGAATGTATATTCTGAAAAAAATTGATTGCAAACTGTTAAAAGGAAAGACCATGTATTATACTTCTTTTTAAAAGTCTCTCAAACCTCTCAGGATGATTCTAGGGGCTCAGCATACTATGTAGGTATGTTTTTCTCCTATCGCTACTTAGTTTTCTTTCTTTCTTTCTTTTTTTTATCTTTTATTTCTGTTGCATATAGATTTAAATTTGATCCTATTTTGTTCCAAAAGTATTTGGGGTAGCTTATAAACTATATGTTATATACAGATAACATGTAAAATAAAGATAAATTAACCACATATGAAGCTTAAAAATGAAAGATGAGATTAGAATAATTCATGTTGGAATATATACTGTGAAAAAAGTTGCACAGTTGTTAAAGGTAGGCCACAAAGTTCTGAGCTTCAATGATTGTCAAAGGAAAGAAGGAAACATACCACTTCCTCACCAAAAACACTGCTTCCTGTGTTAAAATAATTAATTGGGTGGCCATTGCCTGGTGAGACTTCAGTGGCCCTGGGTTCCTGCATAAGCAAACTTAAACCTAACTGAGTGTAAATGGTCATATTCTAGGAAAAAGAAACTTAAGCTTAACCAATGAGAAACCAGAAACTAACTGTGGACTTTCTCCTGGGATGATCCAAATGAGGCCTACTGTCCTACTTTATCCAGTCAAACAGTTGTCTTTGCCTCGCATGTCTGTTCACTCTACAAAAGCTTTCTCCTTGTGCCCCTTTCTCAGAGCCTCAATCTGCTTACATTCTAGAGCTGTCCAGTTCATTAAATCACTGTTTAAATGAACTTTTACATTTTAATGTGCCTTAGTTTGTCTTTTAGCACTTGGAAATTTAGTAAGTGAAATGCTGGTTGTGATTGCAGACAAGAAAGGGTACTTTGAGAAGCCCTAAATTCTCCAGACTTTGTTAATCCCAAATCTACTTACTAGCATTTCACCAAAGGGGGGCTTTACTAGCATTTTTATGGATAACTTTTCATTGTGTGGGATTATCCTGAATGTAGTAGGGCATTTATTATACTTGGTTCCTTAGCACTCAATGGCTGTATTAAAACTGTTACTCTTTTTATTTTTGACAATGCAGTACAATTCTAAAAACCCCATTGGTCCCCCCTAAAGTCTGAAACAATTGGACCTTATTTGCCCATACTCCATTTCAGCAGGGCTATGTGTATCCACTGCTATTTAAAAAAAAAAATCTTGCACTGTTTTTGGGCCCTGTCTGCAGGATCTCTACTCTTTTTTTGGAGTGCCTTTATCACCACCTGCTAGGCCCTTATTCAAATTTCAAAAATAAGTTCTTCAAGAATTGAATTCATGTCTTCAGAACTCCTTCTTTTGAAGTCTTCTCTGATTTTTCCAGGAAAAGTTTGACATTCCTTCCTAGGAGGATACACATATCAAGTCTAGGGTGTTGTAGGTGGTGAATGAATGAATGAAAAACTTGTGGAAGTAAGAAGGCTTAATAATCTAAACTCTGAAAAAAGACTTGTGCGTACACACCAAAAATAAATAAAAAATGTAAAGAGAATGTCTTTTGCATTACAAAAAATGCCTACTTACTTTTTTCCCCAAGAAACATAATGGCACATGGCCATATTTTAAAGACACGTTGCTCTGTCATCTATATTCAGACTGGCACTGAGTCTAGCTTCTGATAGCATGCTGATTTTTTCAGTACCTTCTTATTTGTTGGATATTTTTGGCCAAGGTCATACCCTATTAGTTCCTAGTTCTGGGCTAATTAGCATATGTGCTGACTAGAGTTTGTTCTACTAGTCCCCGCTATTCAAAGGCAGCAAAAGAATTTGAGCTGGTGGATCAGCTTCAGTCATCCCCAGTGGTGGAACAGTTTCCCCAATGTACTTGTAGATAGTCTTGTTTTATATAAAAAAAACTTTTATAAAAAGTAATGATATTAGTGCCATAAAGATTAAGTGTCATTTAAATCTGTTTGAGAGGGAAAAGATCCAGTTGGTATAGGAGTTTGAGTCCAGCCTGGGCACCATGGCAAGACCCTGTCTCTTAAAAAAAAAAAAAAAAAAGATCCAATTGGTGAATAGGCTTGAAAGTTGAATTGAGGGAAGGTACTATGTACTACGAAGAGGTAGAGATATGTAGCATACGGTCATTTAATTTTTGAATTTTTCTTTTG